TGCCCCTCCCCCCCTCATGCTCTGTCTCTCTCTCTCTCAAAAATAAATTAAAAAAAAAAAAAAAAAAGACAGACATGGTGGGGGAAGTGAGCATTGCTGGTCTCACGGTGGCAGCGGGTACCTTCCCGGCTACCCTGGGCCGAGCCCCTGGGGCACACTGGGAAGAGCTGACCACACCACGTGGACTTCTCCGTGGAGGTGGTTGCTTTGGGCCGGCAGGCAGACTTGCAGCCCACTGCATAAACTGTGCGGTGCGGTAGGCGGCCCGCCCTCCTGCCTTCCGTCTTCCTTGTTTGGTCTTGTTTTAATCTTCCCCTTTGCCTTGTTCACGGCTGTCGATATTTGCTCAGCGTGACTCCGTAGGACAGGAGACCCTGGCTCGAGGTGTCTCACTCACTTGTGAACCTTGGGCTGGTGTCTCCGCTTCCCTCTCTGTGGAGTGGAGATGATCCGCACTCCTCCCTCGTGCTCCTCCCTCGCGGGGGCCGCGCAGAGAGAATTGCGCGGGTATATGTCACGTGCCTAGAACGGGTAGCTTGGTACGGAGTAACTGTCGGTAAATGTTAGCTGCCGTTTCTGTTTGTGAGCTTAGTGGGCTTCTTGGAGAATGTGGTTTACATTTCTTAAAAGTGTATTTGTGGAGGAGAATGAAACGTGGGCCGTTTCGGTCTTTGGAGAGGAGGACCCTTAAAGCCCTGTCTCCCCACGGGGCGTGGGCTCAGGGGTCCCAACCCAAGCTCCCTTCTGGGGACCTGGGGATGTTTGTCTGTGTGAGATGGTGCCTCCCTCCCGGGGACCGCCCGGGAGGCCGGTGAGCATGGCCCCTGCGTTGTCGGCCCCCCCCCCCCCCCCACAGCAGAGCACGGACCAGTGGCCCAAGTTTTGCTGGTTGTTTTATTGGCAGAGGGGCCAAAGGAGTCCTTTTCAAAGGCTCTTTACCCAGAAGCCGGACATGCCAGTGCGTGAGAAACAGGCCAGGGAAGAAAGGACAGAGGGACGCGCAGGAAGGGAGAAAGGAGCCAAGGGTGACTGGCACAGCTTTGTTCAGCAGGTCAGGAATCTTTACTGGGGCTGCCCAGTGCCCACGGCAAGCCTGTGACAAAGCCGCTCCTGTTGGGAGAGGCGTGCAAAGCCCACGGATGGCCTGGTGCTGCCGGGAGTGGCCCGCGTGCCCGGCCGCCACATTGGCCCCGGGAGGGCTGGGTGAGACACAGGCGTCCTCTCTTCTGATGAAAACCAAACAGAGTGGTTGCCTGGCCGCGCGGCCCAGAGGCCAAGGAGGGCCTGCTGCTTCCGTCGCAGAGTGGGGCTGTGCCATTCACCAGAACCAAAGCCAAGTCTGACTCACGTGGCCGCCTTCGGTGGGCACCAACGGAGTCCAGGCCCCGACTTGAGGTCCTCGGTCAGCATTCTCCTTGAAAGTTCGTTTAAAGAGGTTTATCTTTTACGTAGGGAATGTGTTCACATGCTCGACAGAATAAAAGCCTGGGAAAAGGTGCATCCAGCATAGCACGGTCTTGCTCCCACTTCTTCCCTGCCTCCTCTCCAACCTTCTAGAACAGCCTTTATCAGCCCTGTTTTCATCAGCAGCACCCTCTCCGGCCAGGATCCTTTCACAGTTCCTTCCTATCAGCACCCCCATGAAATGTCAGTCCCACGGAGACGCCGTATATCTGGTTATGCTCGGTGGCCCTTTGCGGTGCCCCTATCATAACATGTAAGACTTTTTCACTAAGAATGGATTTTGGCCCCCTTGGGAATGAACGCTGTAGAGTTTCTGTATGTAACCACAAGCAGGTGCAAGTACATCTTCCGGTTTTCCTCCTTCCTTCTACAAAATGTAGCAGATGGACCCCCCAGGTCTCCCAAGGATTGGGCGGGGAGGGGGGGGGCCGGAGGGTTGTGCACCTGTCGCTTGCCGTGCATAGGGGTGGGTATGTCAGAGGCTGGTTCTCAGGAATGGGAGGTCCGGTCTGAGGGTCCAGCCGTGATTTAGGGGCCTTTCGGCTGGAGCGTTTCTGGGGTTGCCCTGCCTGCCTTTCTTACTGGCCTTGCCACTTCACCCTTCTGTGACCTCAGGCAAGTAACTGATGGTAACGGCCCCAACTCTGAGGGTTATTGTAAGAATGGAAAAGGGAGCCTCCTCGTGAGGAAGGCACTTTGGCCGGTGCCTAGTGTGCGTGGTAAGTGCTGTAGTTATCAATATACTTTCCCACCACCACCACCACCACCACCGTCATCATCATCAACCCTGGGCCATTGCTATGGTCAGAATGTTTGGGCCCCCACAAAATTTATATGTTGAAGCCTAACCCCCAGGGTGATGCTATGAGGAGGTGTGGCCCTGGGAGGTGCTTAGGTCATGAGGGCGGAGCCTCCTAAATGGGATTGGTGCTCTTTTTTTTGTTTATATATTTATTTTAGAGAGAGTGAGAGAGATCACAAGTGGATGATGGGCAGAGAGAGTGAGGGGGTGGGGAGAGAAGCCCAAGGAGGCTCCACGCTGTCAGCACAGAGCCCGATGAGGGGTTAGAGCTCATGAACCGCGAGGCCGTGACCTGAGCCGAAATCAAGAGTCGGATGCTTAAGTGACCGAGCCACCCAGGCGTCCCAGGGATCGGTGCTCTTACAAAAGACCTCCCAGAACTCTGCAGTTCCCTTCTGCCACGTGAGCTTCTAGAGGAAGGCGCCTGTCTATGAGGAAGTGTGCCGAATCTGGTCGTGCTTGATCTTGAACTTCTTGACCTCCAGAACTGTGAGAAATATTTGTTGTTTGTAAACTACCCACTGGCGTTTTTTGTTCTCACAGCCCCGACAGGCTAGGACAGCCAGGCAGGTAGTCGCTGCGGTGCTGGCCTTTGAAAAAGAGCCCTCAGGCTGAGTCGGCCTGGGTCCTTACTACCTTGCTAGGCCACTACTTGTTAATTCAGCAAAGGACATTTAGAGTCTTTCTAGAAAATTCTAAAGTCCAGAAAACTGCTTGCCTAGAGACGAGCCCGCAAAATTTGCACGAGCTAGTGTTGGAAGATCTCTCGAGAGGAAGAGAGAGCGAGAGGGAGAGCGAGAGGGAGAGCGAACGTAGGTCTGTGCACCTCCCCCAGAAGAGGAAGCATCACAGTAGAGGCGCGATGAGGTATCTTTATTTTGCCCCTCTGGATATTTTCCCACCTTCCAAGAACCTCAAATTTCCAGCCGTGCCACTTAGCCATCCTTTTATCCCAAATGATGTGCACTTTGTGTTGCCAGCTTATGTAAATGTAAGGGGCCACCTTCCAGCTGACTCCAGACCCAGAAATGCTCAGCCATCTTTTTGAAATTCTGCAGCGCAGATGTTTCCAAAGGAATGCGCTCTTGCCTTTCGGGGTCAGAAGCTACCAAACCACAAGAAAGTCCGTCCTCAGACTGGCTGTGCACTCGGCCTGCGTTCCAGAGCCGCGTCTGACCCACAGAGATCAGGCAGGGGCCCGCCAAGAGGACCAGGAGAGCCATCACTTGGTGTGATCCCATGGCCCCACAGTCATCTCCCAGAACCCGCGCTTTTAACCGTTCTGAGTCATTTGCACTGGCATCATTTCCACCTCCGCGTGAGGTTACTGTCTTGTGGTAACAAGCAGCTATCCTCGTGCAGGAATAAGGTGATCAGTTAAACAAGATTTGTGGGTAGGTCAGCACCCAAACCCGCTTCGAAACGCTCTTCTCTGCTTTCCTGCTCGCCAGCACAGAGCGCAGAAGTGTTGAGGCTCACTTCCTCCCTAGCCGGTGCGCTGGGCATGCCCAGACTTTGCTTCCTGCAGGATGATGAAGCAACGTGGTGACTGTTGTGAGCACAGGGATGTGGAGGCTCTTCACTGGTCCCAGGCCCTAAGCTAAGATAGTCCAGGACTTTTGTATTGAGAAATACAAGACTTCACAGTATCAGCTCTAGCCCTAATTCGTTCCTCTCCCGAAAAATAGAACTTGAAAAGCGATTCAGTTACTGGAGGCTCTGAGCTAGATGCGTGGGCGTTGAGCAAATCTTCTTTCGACTCTACATTTTCCTCTCTCCTCCCTACCTTCTCCTCCATCGGTAAACCCATTTCAGGTAAATGTAGAGCTTTATTTGCCCCGGGGGCGGGGGGGACCCTTTAGGAAAGAACCCTGGTTGTACTCCATGCTGTAGACTTGACACGTGGATGCATCTTGTTTTTGTTGCCTTTCAGCATAGTTCTGGACTCTTGTCTTGCCCGGGGCCTGTCTGAGTTTATTTTAGCCCCAGTCTCTTTTACTTTTCACCCTTGTAGGAAAAAAGAGGGGCTTTGTTCTCCGGGAATGATGAAACCATTTCCCTGGCCCTTCTCCACCACATTCTTGACACCTCTTTAATTTGTTATTGACCTGAGGATCTGGTTAAGCTGAGACTGCCTATAAAGGCAGGGTTGGGGCCTGTTTTGCCCATCCAGGATGTCAGGAGTCTTTCACCGGGCAAAGTCACGAGCAAACGGAGGGCTGCGATTCAGGAAAGGAGTCTGCTCAGGTCCTCAGCAACCGATCCCGCCACTTTCAGGTTTCAGGATGACATCTGCCTCGCGCGTCATCCCTTTAAACTGCCATGAAATCAGATCTCTGGCCAGGCAACCCAAGTGGAGCTCTTCCTGGTCATTTTACCATGAGCGCAAAGCACCCCGACTTGATTTTATGATGGGATCGTCTGTTGCAAGTGGTTTGGACGTAAGTCCCAGGCATTCTGCAAACCAACAAATGGGTTTCATTTGAAGCCTGTTAGTTCCAGCATCCCAGGAAAGTGGAAAGGACACTCCCTGGTTGTTAGTTTCCAAAACTCTGGACAGAGCGGAGGTTCTGTTGCATAAGCTAACTCTGTGGACGACGCCTTTGAAATGTTCTGCAGCCGGTTCTTACAGATTTCTGGAAGTTGATGGTGTCTTTTGAATTCTCCGCTTTAGTGGATGCCTAAAAAAGAATTGACCCAAAGTTGATTAATGCACCCTTTCCATTTCTTACAGATGGATCGAGTTGTGGTCTGCTTCAGTACTTGCAGTAGGGACGGCCAACTGGTGTTCCATGGGCTCCATTTAGCCTGCAGATATTTTGCTTGGCCCGCTCAGTATTTGAAAAAATATTTGGATTAGATGCCAACGTTTAAAAACCGGGAGATTGCACATAAAAATACAGATTTCAGGCTTTCCTTGGAAAACCCAAGAATCGGCTGCCCAGGGCCCCACATTCTGCATGGTGGCTACCTGGAATCAAAGTCAAGGCTGACCTTATGTAGAGACCACCTCCTTTAGAGCGCGTACTTGCCCTTGTCCGTAGCCCCCACCCCTCCCTCCTGCCTCCTGAAGGTGGATGGAGTGTCTGTTGTTTTTTGCCATCATGGTTGTGTTCTTGTTCCTCTTATACCTGGCCCACCTCACTCAGTCAGTGTTTCTTCCCGCACCTGTTCAGCATTTGAATTTGTGATCTCTCTTCTGGAAGCGCCACTCCCACCCATGGCTGCCTGACCCCGCCCTTGATACATAGCGAGGCTTAGGAGGTGTTAGCTCCCTCTGTCCTTCTTCCTTCTCCCTCTCTGTTGTCGGGGTTTAAGATGTTTTTTAAAACAACCTTCTATTATGAAATGTATGCAAATATAGAGTAGCACCATGTACCCACCACTCAGCTTCAACTGTTATCAACTCACAGCTAATCTGCTTTCTTGCATACCTCTGGTCATCTCCCACTCCTATTTCATAGTAGTATTTTTAAAAAATCTTTTATTAGAGAGAGAACATGTGGGCACACAAGCGGGGGAGGAGCCGGGGGAGAGAATCTCAAGCAGGCTCCAGGCCTAGCACAAAGCCCGGAGTGGGGCTCGATCTCACAACCCTGGGAACATGACCTGAGCCGATATCAGGAGTCAGGCGCTTAACCAACTGAGCCACCCAAGTGGCCCTCGTAGCGTTTTGAAGCAAATCCTAGACATCAAAAATCCTGGACGGCAGAACCATATCATTGCATGTGTGAATACGTACTATGTGTCTCTAAAAGAAAAGGATTCTGAAAATACTCTTAATACTGTTGGCACATATGAAACAGTGAAAATTCCTTAATATCATGAAATATCCAGTCTTGAAACTTCCTGGTGTCTCATATCTATCATCCAGGGTTTTTTCTTTGTTCTCATTATTTTACAGATTGTCTGAATCAGGATTCAGACCGGGCCCATACATTGTAAGTGGGATTCCTTGGTTCCTCTAAGTCAGCTTTAATCGAGAGGTTCCCCTTTAGAACTGGTCTTTATTATTATTATTATTATTATTATTATTATTATTAATTACTACTATTTTGCCATTTCTTTGTTTCAAAACCAGGTTCCTTATCCTGTGAAATATCTCAGTCTGGCTTTTGCCGATTATATTCCCATGTCCCCTTGTCTTCTCTATTTCCTGTAAGTTGGCAGTCGATTCTAGAGGCTTAATTGGTTCAGGTTCATCTGTTTTGGCCAAGACTGCTTTGTAGGTGGTGGTGGACCCTTTTGTCAGGAAGCACGAGGTGAGGGTGCCTCTCTTTTGGTGATGTTAGTAACTGTCGGCAGCCAGCGCCCGGCTCCCTTCGTTCACTGGTGTGCCGTAATTGCAAAATGGCGATATTCTAGTCTAATTCTGTCTTCCCTTCCTCTTCTGTTAGTTTGGAAAACTTCTATAAAGAGAGACGTCCCTTCCTCAACAATGGTATAATTCATATAGGAAAAGAAAGATGAATGCTTGATTCTTTCCCTTTATTTACCAGTTTTTAAAATAATGGCTTGGTTCCTCACCATCCTCCAGGGGCAGTCAATTAGGGTTTTGTACCATTATGAACTCCCAGATTTAAACATAATTGATGTTTTAAGATTTTAATAGGCTTTTTGGGGGTAGTTCCTTTTGTCCTCATCATTGGATGGAGCTAAATAATATGACTTCCTCTCCTTTCTTTCTCTGGCTTAGCAGTGTGCTTCTTCTGAGGTGTCAGGGAGGAAAGCCTCCTGCATGTAGACTAAGGGGTCTGATCCCTACATGTGTGAAAGGGAAATCATAAAACAGCTCTCGCATGCCAGCTGGCTGATCTCCTCGAAGCATTAGGGAGTCTGGATGTGTGACTTCAGAAGAGTTGGAGTTTGCAGGGCAGGAGAAAGTTACGTATTGATTAGGTGTACAGGACCTCTGTGAGCAGAACACAAAGTAACAGGAGCCTAAACAGGGAAGATGCTTGTTCTCTTACGTAACAGCACAGGTATAAGCAGTCTGGGGCTGGTATACTGGCCACGAGGTGCCAAGACTAGGCTCCCTCCGTCTTATCCTTCTGCCATTCTCAGGGTGGTGCCCCCATCTGCAGGGTCCAGTTTGGCTCCCGGATGGGGGAGAGGGTGGGGCCAAGGAGGAGGAAAGGCATGCCCCTTCCCTTTAAGGGCATAACCTGGAAATCTCACACGTCCCTTCATCTGACACCTCCTTGGCTGGAGCCCTGTCATGTGACCGTGCTGAGCGGCAGAGGAGTCTGGGAAATGTAGTTTTAAATATTTACACTTCCCAACCATAAAACCTGTTCCTCTGGATGACAGGAGAGCAGATTTGGGTCCTCTGCACATGAAGCACGATGGCAGTGGGAAAAGAGCTCCAGAAAGAGGTTGGGTGTTGTAATCTTGAACGTTCTTAGGGGTTTCTTCATCCGTTCCCCAAGTATTTACCGAAAGCTTCCCTTGTGCCAAGTGAGCTTTTTAGATCCTGCGGGCACAGTCGTACATGAAACGGATGGAGTCCCTGCCTTCGTGGAACTTACCTCCTAGACATTGGCTATCCTGGTGAATGCCCAGGACCGTGGCTTCAGGGTCAGATGTCAATGAGTAGTTGTAGTCAGAGAAGCTTGACTTGGAGCCTGCTTTGCCTCCTCCTTGCTTGTGGTCTTGGGTGAGGCGTGTGTGAAAAGCCATTTATAGACTGTCAAGTGCCCCACAAACAATGGGGGAGGGGAGCTGGCAGGGTGGGTGTAGCCTCCTTTAGCAGGGGCTGGTGGGCTGGCTGCTTCAGGAAACTGCCGGGAGACCTCTCAGTTGGGCATTTGCCTTCTTGGTTTGCTTCTAGTCAACCGATTGCCCATTCATTTATTCCTTCTTTGAAAAGACATCTGCTGCCATCCTACTGTGTGCTGGGCTTTGTGCCAGGTGCTGGGGACACAGCAGTGAATCTGTCGGAAAAGGCCCCTCTTCTGACAGTCTCTAGAGAAGAAGATGCTGATCAGAAATGAACCAGTGGGGCGCCTGGGTGGCTCAGTTGGTTGGGCGTCCGACTTCGGCTCAGGTCACGATCTCACGAGCCCCGCGTCGGGCTCTGTGCTGACAGCTCGGAGCCTGGAGCCTGCTTCCGATTCTGTGTCTCCCTCCCTCTCTCTGTCCCTCCCCCACTTGTGCTCTGTTTGTCTCTCAAAAATAAACAAGCATTAAAATTTTTTTAAATGAACCAATAAATAAGGAGAATTTCAGATGGGGCTAAGTGCTGTGAATAAAATAAACCAGGTAATGGTAGGGGAGGGAGGAACTTCAGATGGGGCCGTCAGGGACAGTCTGCTTGAGGAAGTGGCCTTGACCTGAGACCCAGAAGAGGAGGAGGTGGTGGAAGAGAATTCCAGGCAGGTAGAACAGCATGTGCAAAGGGCCAGCGCTGGGAGGAAGCCTGATTGTGCGGGGCGGGGGGCAGAGAGAGGTCTAGTGTGGCTGACAGCCATGGCCAGGAAGGGAGTTGAGAGGGTGGTTTTGAGAGGAAGCCAGACCACACAGGGCCTCAGAGGCCACAGTGAGAGGCTTGGATTTGATTCTGGGAGGGAAGGGAGACTGCTGGCGGGTGGCAGGTTGGGGTGTGTGTGTGTGTGAGGCTGGGGTGTACAGGAAATAATTATGGCAACATTCTCTCGCGCGTACTGAGCGCCTTTGGAGGGCAGAGACTAATTACCATCTCCGAATCACAGCTGGGAGCCCAGGCCGAGGAGGGGGGTGGGGTCTGTCTCAGGTCACAAAACTGGAGGCCCAGAGAAGGAGCTGTGAGATGCGCCTGCATAGGGATGACACGAGAGGGTCCTCTAGACCAAGTTCGTACACAGAGCGGAGCATTTATCGTGGGTTTTTCACCCCTTCTGTCTGATGAGACCCCAGAAAATCGGCTTTCGCCGCAGAGCCGCCAATCTGACCGCCTCCTGGACGTCCCCATGTGGCCGCCCCACGGGATCAGGTGCCCGCCCCACTCGGTCCCTCGCTCCCTTATCGTACAGCTGCCTACGGAACGTGGGGGCGTGGCCTTAGGCAAGTGACTGAACACCTGCGAGCTCACCGTCCGCTCAGGAGTGACAGTGCTTCGGGTTTCAACGGTTGACGCGTGGCCGGTTTAAGTGACGCACATAACAGGGTCAGCCACGTGGTGGGCGCTTGGCAGGGAGTAACCGTCTGCTCGTCATCTTCCCTGCGACCATCTCCATCTGTGCCAGGCTGAGGAGTGGCCCGTCCCCAAATCCTCCCCGCCAGCCCTTCTTCAGTACCCTCTCCCCGGTTCCGGGTTGAAGCCGTCTGCTCAGACGCCACAGGGAGCCTCGTCTTGGGGCCCCTGGCCCGTCCGCTGGACGCCCGCTGAGTGAGGGGTGCGGGTGTGGGTAGCTGTCCTGTGGGTACTGGCAGACGCCCGGAGGCAACCCAACTGCCTGTCAACCAGGAACAGTCACATAGGAGGTCCTGAGCAGCTTGGGGCAGGTATGGAGGGGAGACCTCTTCCTGCTTGCGTTTTTGTACTTAGGGATTTTTTTCTTCTTCTTTGCTCTAGGCAGATATTACTTAAGAAAATTGCAAAGAGGAAAAAAAAAAAAGGGAACACAATCAGGTCTTAGAAACGATCCTCCAGGCTCGTGTAAAAAACAGGGTTTTAGAAGTAGAAGGCTTTCAGTTCTTTTTTTTAAAAAAAAATATTTTTTAATGTTTACTATTTTGAGAGAGAGAGAGAGAGAGAGAGAGCATGAGCAGGGGAGGGCAAGAGGGAGACACAGAATCCGAAACAGGCTCCAGGCTCTGAGCTGTCAGCACCGAGCCCAACGCGGGGCTTCAGCCCTAGAACTGCGAGATCATGACCTGAGCCGAAGTCGGATGCTTAACCGACTGAGCCACCCAGGCGCCCCCAAAGCTTTCAGTTCTGCTTAGGGGTACGTCTCACCATCTGGATGCACAGTTGTCCCTCTCGGCTTTGAGTGAAGGATGACACAAAGCTCTGCGGAGACTTTCTTGCCTCTAAACTCATGCCTACACCGTAACCTCCGCCTGGAACGCCGTCCCCTCCCTCTTGTGCCTTTTGGAGTCTGACCAGTATTTCAAGGCTCTGACGAGCTGTCTTCTCTCTGCAGCTGCTGAAGGGGGTGGCGGGGGGCACGCTTCTCTTTCTCTGAGTCCCGGAGACACACAGGGTCCCTGGCAGGCGTGTTTCACCACATACACCTCTCAGGTGTTTCTGTGCATTTTTTCTCCCTCAAGTCCAAGTCTCTGGGTGGGAAGTACTAACATCTCGACTTGTCTGTACCCGCAACTGCGCCTGGGATGGCTTCGCACACGGTAGGTCCCTGACGTTTGCTCATGTCCCCGTTTGCTCAGAGCCTCACCCAGCCCCCTGCACATAAGATGTGTGGAATTGAGCGAGTATCCGAGAGCAAAATGGGCAGCAAAAACTGCCCCTACAGCAGTACTTCAACCAGACCTAGGATGAGCGAGGGGACGTTTTAGTCGTCTGGCCTGATACG